TGCGTATCGCGTTGTACCTTGAAAATTCCATACTCCCGTTGCATCTATTCTCAAACTACGGCTAGCAGTTACGTTAAAAGCGTTAATACTTGCGATTTAATTTCTTGAAGTTTTTTCTACCCTTTAAGACTCATACGGACCCAAATAACACATGTATGTTTTTCTGTTAATCAACAAAGAGCTTGCAGCGTCGTAAAGATTTAAAGAGACCATTTAAACAGCTCGAGGTCTACTCCCTATTCTGGAAAGTAAAAATCTCGTTCGGGCGTCTCACTCAATTTTTTTGTCGTTGAAAGAAGACAATCTCATTCGGAAAAATTAAATATTTGATTTTGTATATTTTTTTTAAATTGACACTCACGAGAGAGATCGGATTGCAGCGAATCGATGTTGCAGCTTCGACATTTTAGCATACGATAATCGCGGCCTTGCTCCTTATTTTTGCATGCAGAAGAAATCTCTGACGTTTCGTATCGAAGAAGGTCATGAGCCACAATCGTACGCCGCCACAGCTGCGACTATTTCGGTCAGACTTTTTTCACATTACGTAGAACACACGCACGAGAGTTCCACAATACGTTCGTGGTACACGCACACTCGGAACGCCAGGGCGTGTGTATGTGAGCACAGGTGTAAGGAGTAACGAACGGTAGGTGCACTTGCGTCTCGCAATCGGAGGGCGGCTCCCAACATCCTTTCGCGAGACTATGGGTTACGGTGACCGACAGACCGTCGTTATTTCCATAAGGTCCTTCTCGTGATAGCAGCTCTCATCTTCGCGGATAATTTGCGGAAATATCCGGATTTTCGGCGCTCTACAATTAATGTTGTAACTTACGTGAACGCAAATAACAATAATTAGTGATCGAAGGATAACAGTTATCACAGAACGATAGTCACAGGATAAAAGCAACAGAATTTAACACGCAGGCTTTGTATAATTTGCAACGGGTCGAATTGAATCGCATTAAAACACTTCTGTATAAGTATATAAACGCCATATAACGTTTGTGTGGATTCCAACTTTTTCAAACATCAAAAATACGAGGGGTTATTGACTTTCGATATCCCTTTACTGACATTATAAGTGCTACTCGACGAATTCAATGAAAATACCCTCTGCCGACAGAACGCTTTCCACGGCATCAATTTTCCCGATATTTTTGGAGTAGTGAGAATTTTCGAAATTCACACACACATGCACGTTATCATGTCACTTGCCACAGCAACTTGTTGTAGTAACAATTCAATTTCTATAAACGCGAATTTAAGGGATATAACGAAAATATTATCTTTGCCGTATTCCCGTGGAATTATAAACCCGCTCGTACAAACAACCTCGAGATATTCGTTCAGTACGTAAGTTATGGTGTTGTGTTTGCAGGTATGAGAATGACGTAACAACCGGTTTCGAGGGTATAACATACTATTGCAAAATCTGTCTACCGCCTTGTCAACAGACTGACACTTGCGTTTTACACGCAGAAGTGCATTATGTCACTTCAGTCGTCAGTTCGCGCGCGGCGAATTCGATCGCGAATGGGGCTTGTTAAAAGCACACCGTTTGCACGCAGACTTAAAGAAGCGAAAATTCCTCTCGTGAGGTAAAACTCTTTTGTGAAATTTAGACATTTTTGTCATTAAAATACGTCGTGTTAGCGTGTCAGATATTAGGTCATATATAATCGTCCCGAGCTCCCTACCGACTCGCTCGTTGACGCGCCGTTTAATGAATCTTTGTTAATAGCTCATCTCCATTTTCAGTTTCCAAGCGCTTCTTCCGTTACGTGGAAAGACGACGAGATGATACGTATAACAGGCTATGTAGAATACGCGTCTTTCGATTCTCTCGCACGTGCGTTCACGGACGCGCCATATGGTCGCGACAAAACCACACATGCCGGTATATTCCCATGTATATCGAGCCGGCAGGTAGTATACGGTAGCATGTGTTTCAATGCATACCGAGCTTCACCGTCGGCGAATTTCGCGCGTAATTATCGTGCTTCGGTAATTAATCAAGGCGCTACGTTCCAACGTGGATTCGCCAACATGCCTCTTCCGTCCTTCTCTCTCGGAACAACACACACTCTCTCTCTCTCTCTCTCTCTCTCTCTCCCTCTGCGCAAAATATATCGCAACATTATTTGCGGCTTGCATGCTTCTCTCGCGCACATATTGAAGACGGAATTTCGACTAACAATTGGGAGATGCATCTCGAGAATAGTTTCGCTCTTCGTAAATGTAACCGACGAATTCCAGCTATGCGACTACGATAAGATGTATCAGTCATGGCAAAAATTTCGTCTTGCAAATCGCATATTAAATTCAAATTGCGTGCGCACGCATAACACAAACTGCGCGATTTTTGCTCTCGGATCGTGTTAGACCGTGATGCTATATGTACTTGCGTAACGCGAAATCCGATTAATACCGTGGCGAGATTGACGAAGCGAGCCACGGGTAGTGCGATACACACAACGAGTCCCTCGAGTTGCGTTTCCAATTAAAATTTATTCGTTATACCGGCGTTGGCACACTGCTAACTAAACGGGGGAGGGCGGATCATTCGATCGAATGCTTGATGCGTTTAACGTGTTTGCGAGCGAGCTGACTGTCATGCAGGAATTACGTCCGCTTTCTATTACGGTTAAATTTTGGCAGGTCAATTCGTGGAATTAAACCGTTCGACAGCGCAGTGGACTGGTGCTTTCTCCGGCCAACATTGTCGGTATCCTGTGTGTGTGTTTGCCTATAATTAACCCGTACCCAACAAAAGCGTGCGTCAATGGACTTTGCCGATAGGCTGGCGTTATCGCGTATCGTGCGTGTTACAATAATGGCCGCTGAAGAAAAAAGAAGTAATATTTCTTCGTGCTCCCCTAACTTAAAAAAATTAAAAATAACTTGAAAAAAATGTTAAGAGGCTTTCTGATCCATATCGAAGGTTGACGTGGTTTTACACGCGACAATAATTTAGCCAACAAGGTTCACTCTTTAAATTGTAAACATAGCTCGATGATCCTTTATCGCAATTAGTATTTTTGCTCATCAGAAATGATTAATAGTAATCTAATCTTAGCTGTAGTTTTCGTAATGATCAATATTGTCACGTAAGATTACAGTGATATCGATGCTCAATGAATGCCATGCATTACAACGCAGTCACGTGGAACCTTAATAAAGCGGTTGCCCTCACAGGCAGAAAAATAGCTTATCCGCGTTAATAACACCCTGTAAGTTATACAACGACGAGTAACGAGGTCTTATTCATCTTGGCCGTTGGTTGCCTTTGTTTCGAACACGGCAGTTTCGCTGGTTGAGAGATCGCGCGCCGCTAATGAACGCTTTCTTCCACCGTTACCCGTGTCTTACCATAGATCAACCGCGATTCAGCAAATTAAGCATGACGCAAACACGGTCTTCTGAGCATTGTCCGGTGGGAAGTCACCGCGAACGGACAAGGTATCCGTGGGAATTGGCAATTCTCGGAAAAAAAGAAAAAATCGACCGACGTCTCTTCTCGAGACGTTCGCGTCAAGATAGTAAAAGGCAAAAATTCAACGGAATCATTCACGATAAAAAAGAGAATGAGAAAGAAAGATAATGAGAAGTGAAGTTTTCCCTCGATATTTTTTTTTTTTTTTAATGTTGTCATCGGAAATAGCATTCGATCGTCGCCGCGAAACGGAATGCAAAAGAAGGTGGAAGACCTGTCATGGGAATTCCGAGTCAAGGCTCCATAACCGTCGCCCCTTCGTTAATGTATGTGTGTGCGTAGTTCGCACAATAAGTGCCGCGCGTAACAATGGAGCTGCGAGGAGCATTGTCGGTTGCACGCGAGAATAGACGAGCATACACGCGCTTAATCGCGACGCAAAATCGGGTTATGGCAATTAACGAAGCATAACGTTTCGCCACCCGCCTCCCACGCGTCGCTAAACGTTGATCAGATAGACAGACCGATCTCCAGCGGGGTCGTTCGATGGGCGATCGCCTCGCGAACACTCGCGGACTGCCGACGGATGAAATGATCGGCGAACGAATTCGGAGGGCGTCGAGTGTGCTTTACGTGACGCATTCGCTGTGTACCTTCGACGGAAGTTATTGGACTTCGTGCCGATGATTTAATTGAGCGGCGGCAACGTCCCGATGGTCAACCAATCGTCTCGATTTAGCGCAAGAATCGCCGTTGGAATATTTCAGTGTTGGCCTCTATTGAGGTCGGTGAGTGAAAATTTAATTACACGTCCATCCGGAAACTTTCAATTATAATATCACTTTTTATCAGTACTACTAATCGTGTGTAAATGTGTATATTATATGTATTACGGCCTAAAAATAATGGAAACCGATTGAAATCCTTGAATTAATTCGAAATCGATTTCTCTTCTTAACGACGATTAATTGGGTCGTCGTTCTTTGACTCTCAGAATGTTTCAACTTCCCCAGATACATGCTAATAGTCTTCGTTGAAGCAATTTCTTTCTTTTATTTTCGTTATTTTTTGTTTTCTATTTATGTCACAATTTATTTCGATCACGCAATTTACGCATACAATTCAATTTCCAATTAAAAAACTCGAAACGTTTACATTGTGTGAACTTTGCGCATGAAAGTATTATCGGCTTTTCACGAGCACCAATCGATTTTACAGTTCATTCATTCGATATACTTTTTTTTCCTTCGTACTCGCACTTTGCTGTTTACTACGGCATTGTACAATATTTTGTCGCCTTTATATTCAGCTACCCCTGTGATCACGAAACCCCATCATTTCGTATAAAGTGTATATGAAACATCGGCAACACATGTCATCGATACTCCAATGTACAGGAAATGAATCAAAATACGCGAGCAGATGTGTGGATTTAACTATTACCGGCTTCGTGGCCGCCCTTCATACACTACATTTATGTCTTTACCATCAAACACACGGGGGTTTTTGAATTAAGAGACAATATGACAGGATCTGGTCAATAGGTGTATAGGCGACTTACCGGGAATTTTACTGTTTACTCCAATGATGCACGCGCTTCTTTCTGAAAGCAAAAAATACAAAATATGTTTAAATGTTATACGTATGACAAGATGACGCATCCACAATTTTAAAATGTAAAAATTATCTTTCAATACTGCGCGCTCGACCGATCGTTAACGCTTCATTAAACATCATATATGTATATATATATATATATATATATATATATATATATATATATATATATATCTAACAAAATATTTTCAACAAACAAATCAATCAGATTTGAAGTTATATGAAATTACGAGTCGTGTAACTATTCGTCACTGTTACTTCCGAGCGCAAATAAATGTACCGCGATAACAGACAACGAAGCGTCGCTCGCATAGATATACATCTAAGACTACAGAGATTATTTAAAAAGTATCATCCATAAATTACGACGTAATATTGGAGGAGCTGTCTGAGGGGTCTGACGATACTATAAATAACTTCACGCTGACACTGTTGAAATACCTGCCGGAAAAAATTCAATTAGAGAACGCTTTTGTGGGCGCGCAAATGTGCGCAAAGTAGTATGAAACTAATGATCCTTGGTAACAATGCTGCATAGTAAGTGCCGGTATTTTATCAAAATGTTATCACTTGCTTACGATTTTGCAGCGATAACGCTAATTTATCACCACAGTTTTTATGACAAAGAGAACGAGAGAGAGAGAGAGATCAATCGAGAAAGAAGGACGGTCGTAATTTTTACATGTTAAAATTTGACAATTATCTCGCCCACGTGCCAGATCGAGAATCATGACTAGAGATACGCAAATTTGAAGCACGTTCGAATGTATCAGAGCATCAACCTGTTCCTTTCATCCCCGAGTTATATTTGTCACGTCTTCGACGAAATCGTTATCCCGTCTAGTTGCAGATTAATTTAATCAAATAGAGTCACTGTTAAATGTTTACTTTGCGTAAAACGTGATAGAGAGAGAGAGAGGGGGGGAAGGAGGGAGAGGGAGAGAGAGAGAGAGCGAGAGAGCGAGTCTTCTTTCTCGAGGAGGACGCGCCGAGGACGCGCGCTGTAGAAAATTAAAGTCGCGTCTCCCATGGCGCGTCCCCCCGGCGGAAGGAAGAAAAACATATTCTCATCGGATTGACTCGGCGCGCGACTCCCAGGCAAGAAGACTCGTCGCCGATTCGTTACAAAGGAATCCCCGAGCTACTTGAGCGTCTACGCGCCCCATAAAAATGTGTACAGCACTTTATATCGAGCGAGACCGTTCCCACGACACCCTGTGCGTCTCTCCTATGGGAATATTTTATAGGGGTGAATTTGTATGTGCGAGCGCGCGTACGTGTGCCACGTGGTGCATGAGTGTGCGCGTGTACATGCGTCCGTGCGTGCGTGTTCGCGAGGCTGGTTCTAACGGCGATCAGCGAGCCCCGCACTTTCATCGGTGACGAACACCGATCCTGAGATGACGACGATACACCCCAGTCTCAATTTCAACGCGTCTTTGGTCGTTCGATCGAACGCGTATTGGTATTCGAGTCGTTAATTAAAGGCCCGAATGGAGAACTCGAAAAAGCGCACTTGTTCCAACTAATAAATTATATTCGCCATCTGGTGTTTGGTAAATAGCATTTAATTGGTCGTTACAGGGAGCCAAATGTAACGTGCACGGTAAGGACGACGACGCATAGCTCATCAAGAGCAATTCGCTCGTAACGATCCGTTAAATCATCAAATTGTCTTTCATAATAATAAATTCAAATATATGTTATAGATGTAGTATGTACACAATCGTCGTGAGTATAATTTGTACATTTTTCGTATCGCAGGAATTCGTATCGCTGCATTATGCAAATTTAGTCGAGAATGTAACATATGGCGATCTTGTGAAAACACGTTACGAGGATCCCGACAGCGAAACGTGAGCTTTATTTACCATTATTATTATCTACTTAGGTTAAAGCAGGCTAATCACACACTGATACAGATATTTGCGAATTGATGTATGCACATTTGCACATCTCAAAGCAATTCCTAATCGCTTTCGATGCGCATTATTGTTTTTAGTATACACGTTACTTTCGGTTCTCTATATTGATCGGTTGAAACACTATTTACCGAACACCAGATGATGAGTACGAGTCATTTGTTGAAACAAGTGCACTTCCTCGAGACATTAAAGTTCGATGAAGTTATATAAACGCGACTTGTACTTTGGAAAGATAGTATCGCGGGAACCACTTCGAGAAACGATACGTCTACACAAGGAAAATGACAAGATTCACGATTGTACTTGCTATTCTTCTAGTGGCTCTTGTAAGTATCGCATTCATAAGTAATACTAGTCTTCAAAAAGATTCTTTCGAACTCTGCTTGAAAATTCATCTTTTTTACAGAAACTTAGAAATTTAAACTTTGCCGATTTTGTCAATTTCTCAGGAAGAAACCTGATTATGCATTTTTTGTTAAATTATGCAATGCTATTGTGATTCTATTTTTCTTATGATATCGTTTATTCTTTTAATTAATTACAGGCCGATATTCAGTCTAATGTAGCAAAAGCGTACTCTGATGAAGAAGAAAATCCTTTAAAAGAACCTCTATTGATGAGGATTTTAAATGCAAAAAATCGTGCATATGAACAAGTGCAGAAGGTTAAGTTGTTAGCATCCACTCACCACGAAAATTTTATTGAACGCGTGAATGAAATGGTGGAAAAGGTAAGAGATTCGAATGATACCAGAAAATTACTTTTTTTAGAAATGCATTTATTACTAATGAAATGTTGTAATGTTTATATGTGTAATTACATATATAAATAAAATATTATATGTATATAAACAATTTCATACATGTATTTATCGCAAAATTTATGATAGGGAATAAAAGTAAGCTTGAACATTCTTTAATCGAACCATATATACTCGAGAAATTAATTAATAAATATTATATCCTTAAAAATTCATATTTATAGGCTTGGCTCGATATGGAAATCATGAAAAAAAAGTCCGGTAATACGAATCCTGATTGTGATAAGAAGGTGAAAGATGACATAAATGACAATGCTTTAAAAACTATTAGCACTTATCAATCCTGCCTGAGCAAAGTGACCGACAGTGCTGACTGGGACATGCAATCCATGTCCTTCGAGGCAAGCATTCTGATAAAGGACATCCATGCCGCTAAAGTGAGTACTTCGACGTAATTTGCGTGTGCATAAATCGAAGTAAACGAGATAATGGAAAGAGGTCGTGAAGTTAGTTTTCGAACTAGAAAATTTATACTAAATATGTGTCGCCATAACGTGTTATAATTTGTTATAGATTGTTGACGAAGAACTGTATCGCAGAACTGACGAATTCGAGGCGAAATGGAGTCAATTCGGTCAATACATGAAGAAACTGAATACATGCAATAGCATGTCGAACTTACCACGACTTAAGCGACAAATCTCCGAAGCTCATACCAGTTACATGCAATGCCTTAATTAATCTTCAATTACGATATTATCAGGATAATGACTCTTTTGATTAACAAAAAATTCCCGCTTACATTAAGAGATGATTATCGATTTTTGATTTTATAATAAATACATTATTTTATTGCCCATATTATTTACTTAACATTATAAAATAGCGCGGAAGTTGCACAGTCGGTCCTGAGAGATAGCATTTAAGCGCACGAGATTAATGAACAGCAACAATTGATTAGCAAACGTGAGAAGAGAATAATGAAATGACGATCGGGGAGGATGGGACGATGGAATAAAGAGTCGGGTGAAAGAATGAGATTGAAAGCGCGGGAGAGAATAAATGGCTTTTTAACATTTATACATAATGAAACAAAATGACATTCACATCGGTCTCATCGCAGAAGCAGGATTATTAATGAATACATGCCGTATTAAAACGTGAAAGCGCTATCTTCATCGTAGCGTGGAAGAACGCCGCGAATTAAAATGTTCAATGTATATTTTACGCATTTACAGAATACGTTACAGCATTCCCCAAAAACGATCTATCGACACTGGCAAATAATTTACACGCCGGTGGCTTGAATTTTTGCTTATTATACGTGTGTTTCGTTGTGTGCGCAAGTGTGTTTAAAACGAAACGCCCCGTATATTCCGCGCACGTACAAGAGTTTTATAGTGTCATCAAGGATATAGTCACGCATGCGAACGAGGATAAAGCCGCAAATTCATGCAAACCACAAAATATGACCGTATACCCGGTCTCGGACTGATAAAGCGATAGGCCACGATGCGCGTGGCATACCACAATTCGCGCTATTAGTATCTTCAGTTATGAGAATGCTTTTACGTAATAATAAAATTATTTCAGCGCATACGCGATTTATTGCACTCACCGCAAATAAATCGTCGCAAAGGACACGTTACGTTAAAAAAAGAACATTTTGTCTTGAAGATGGAAAATTTTTTTCAGCAATTACAAAAATGTCTGACCCTTTCCTGATTTCTCACATTTACATTTAACTGAATTCTTCTGCAAAAGTAACCCGAATCAATTTTTTTATGTCAACGTTTAAAATTGACTTTACTTTAATTCATCAACCAGAAAGAGTTTCTTTCGATTTTTTCTTACTTTTTACTTCGATATCATGAACGAGGAAAATCTAATAATAAAACATTAACACGCGTCAGGTCGCGGCAATGTATTCTTTGAAAATATATTTTCCATAATTATTTGTGCGATTAGCATATAGTTGAAAATGAATGGGAATAATTAAAGCAGCGGGAGCGTAGCCCAATAAAAAAGTCTTTCGCAAAAAGCTACGTGTCTCTCTGTTGTAAAACAAACTAATACGAGGGACGACAACACCGGTGTGGATCAACACCGTCGCGGATCAAAGTATTTTGCTTTGCACCAACGTGAGAAAACGACAGTAACGAGAAAGGGACCAGTTTCCTGTCGCGCTACGCGACGATATTGCAACATCCACCTGGTAGGATCAATACGTACCGAGTTACGTAGTAGAACCTGTGTCGGTAGGTGTAACAAGAAAGTAGTATCACGCGCAATAAAGTGTCGTTATTTGGATTGTGGTGTGTTATAATTATATATATCTATAAATTCAACGAAAGAGATATATTTAAATTAGAAACGTATATCTATATGTTAAATACTATTAAAATAAATACTATTCTAACGTATATGGTCATACATATTCTACGACAGCATTTACGTCATATGCGGAAAAATTATCATAAACAAATTGCACTACCGACATGAAGCAAAAATAAGTTGCAAAGTTCATATCAGCGATCAGCGTTTCGCTAGCCGTGGTCATATTTTAGCCGGGCTCATTATTTTTACACAGACTAATTAGAACAATTGCACATTGACACAAACGCGCACGGCATGACAAGTTGATTTACATATCTTGACAATACCTGCAAGAAATTGGAGGTAGACGTATTATATAAGCGCGAATTTTAGCTTAAGGGGAAAAGTGTTGTTACAGAAGTTGTGTCGGAAAGAGCGGCATTTGTATCGGGATTAGAGTAACAATGTTTAAAATCGTAAGCTGTATCTTCATCGCTGCCTGCGTAAGTGTTAAGATTTTTAATCACAAAATCATCGCGTTCGTATATAATCATAAAGATTGGAAAATTCTTGATACTTCGATACCACGAGCTTCTTATTTGGCTCTAATAAAAACGTTATCTAATTTTTCCCTTTTATATTAAAGACGACAATAATTTCATTGTGTTAAATAATTATATATCCGTTATTTTTGGCAATATTATACCTATTTGATCGATTACAGATCAACTTCCCACAAGTTGTTGTAGCTGCCTCTCTTTCGAATCCTCTGGGATCTCTGGGATCCCTGGGGTCCCTAGGATCCCTGGGATCTCTAGGATCATTGGGATCATTGTTAGATAACGCGCAAGATAAACTAACAGATAAAATAACAGATAAAATATCGGACAAAATATCGGATGAAGTATCGGATAAAGTACCGAATACACAGGACCAGTTCTCGGACATACTTCGCAATATATTCGAACGTGGAGATGAAACCGTAAAAAAAATTGGAAATGGCGTGAGTGATCTAGGCACGACTCTTGATTCGCGATTGTCTGCCGAGGTGGAGAGGGTAAATACAAAATAATATCCTTTAATTACGCTTCTGAATTGTTTGACAAAGAAAAGCAAGGTTGAAACGTTAAGAAAATTTACGCATTGAACATTTTTTTACAAGTATTCATCAAAACGCGCAGACCGAAATTTTCTTTTTATTAAATATCGAATTACAAGTGCGATATATGTGTTTAATGTACGCGTCGATTGTAAATTTATTCCTCGACGACAAGTTTATTATCGATAAGCGTAGAAATCACAACGGCAGCTGATAAAAGAATTAATTACCCGTTCGCCGTGAGTTTCATCATTTCGTCGTGTTGCGTAACCCAGTAGAATAAATTTACACCTCCAATTCCGGATGGTACCCGTTTTATCATTGATACTTCAGACAAAAGATACTAAATGCTTTCCCAATATATATATATATATATATCCTAGTTCATTTCTAATATGAAGCTATATACTCAATCTCAATTGTACCCGAGAGATATGAATTTTGACAAAACGCAACTTCGACGCTGCAAAGCTCGTGAATAATAAATATTTAGACTTTTAAATATCTGTCGTCATGTCGACAGCTCAAGGAGAAGAGTGAACAATTCCTAAAAGAAACTCAAAACGCCGATATTTCTTCCTGTAACAAACTGTATATGAGAGGACGCGCTACTCTCGCCGAACTGATATCGAAGCTTGATTCTTGTTTGTTAAGCAAAGCGCGAGATGTTGGAAAGGAAGTTGAAGATCTCGTTAATACAATAAGTGCACTGTATCAACACTTGGCGGAGCAACTGCCGAACATGATGCAATGCTTAAAAAACCCTCTAAATATTGTTTCGTGTATCTCTAAGGTACGTGCGTGGTGTGTGTATGTGTATGCATCCTATTTACTTGAGATTAATATAAATCTATTTATACTTTTTATAATATTGAATTCTCCGTAACTGTACAAATCTTTCTACCATTTAAAAAATGTTTTAACAAGACATCGAAAATTTTACGAAAATCGATCGGATTATCAGACGTGCGATTTTTCCAAAACGTATAACATTAACACACTTTTTTAGGCATCTCAAAGCGTCTTCAAGCTGGGTTTGACGGCTAAGCAGGCTATTGGCGCGTTTATACAACTCGTTACATTTTTCCCGACTGTGAAATTATGTGCTAAGATGTCGATTTTCAGTGTTGTAGGAACTAATATGCTCAACCTCGTGAAAGACGCGGGAATGTGTGCTCAAAGCACTATAAAAGGAAAGCTATTCACCGACTAATGTGACTCCCATCTTTTATTATACATACATATTACTGTTATTATAAGTTAACCCCACGATACGAAGTTCCTACTTTTTTCGCACTATGCAAAACGGTACACGCAGGTATATATCAAATGTACTTAATAAATACTAAGTTAATAACATTGCTATGCTCGCCTCTACCTTTTAGAGTAATTTAGGAATCAAAGAAAGCACAAAATATACATTTATAAAATATATACTGTGTATGCGATTTATTAACTTAATTTTATGAGCGATGAAGTTCCAATTGAAATGATAACACACGCTCGTCTGCCGATAGAAATAAGCTCCTTCTTCAGAAAAGTTATTCAATATAGTGAAGCAACAAAAAAATTCGTGGAACTGTGAAAAAATATACAGTAATTCGAAAAATTTGTTAATTTTTCAAAAAATCCAGAGAGAATTCAAACTCCTTGGTCGGAAGCGACAAATGCATGGTTGATCTACAAGAGGAAATATAAACTGTAGAATCAGGATATAAGACTCAGATGAAAGAAAAAGCGACACTCACCAGAGAGAACATGAGGAAGACGTCTGCGAAAGAAGCGCGCGGTGAGTCTGGACATCATGTATAATGGGTCGAAACGATTGGATAGGCGCAGTCCCACGTGTAGATATATATATATATATATATATATATATATATATATATATGTATGTGCGCGGTGGGACGTATAAAATCGCCGTTATGAGAAGCGACGAGGAACCGATCAGTGTCACCATTGAACCACAACGTTCACATTGTGGCTGTTACAGTAGACTTCGCAATAATCGTTGAATGAAAGAGACGTTGTTTGCTCATGTTAACGGTATTCACGCCAATCACAAGGTAACTCTCTATATATTGTTTCGAAATTATCGTCAAAACGTATTCCCTGTCGAATAATGGCGATAGAATCATTTACGACGATATATTTCGGTCATTCACAAAGAACACCGCGATCGGACGACGGTGTCCGCGTACCGAGGCAGGTGAATCAGAAATCGCTGCTCCCAACACCGCGCGGTTACTCATCGTATAACTGAGTAACCGTAACAATTATAATGAAATCACTCAGCCCGTGCATAAAAAGCAGGAAGAGGAATATCAACCGCGGATACGTCATGGTGAGCGCGAGAAAGCGCATGACATCATTCGGTGAATAAAGGACAGTCTTGAAATTGAGCAGACGTGTTTTATTGCGCGCTTAACGATTACCGGAGAATTGCAGCATACGTATAGAATTACATCCTTGCTATGTCTAAGCTTGAATATGCCATTGAAAGACATAGCATTGAAATGTATACTCGATCATTGGACGGATCATATTTAACGTTAGATCAATGTATCTTTATCTTTGAGATATTTTCGTATCAAAACGCATCCCGAGTTTCTGAACTTGAGCGAGTTTCAGCGCTCGTCTCGAATGTTTTTCCAAGCGAGTCTTTCACAGTTGCACGAGTAAACAGCTTCGAATGGCTATAACGACATATAATAAAGCAATCGCGGACAAAGCGCTTTGTCAACAAAGTTGCCGGAGGAACTGGCAACAAAGCGTGGCGCGTGAATAAAGTTCATCAACCTCCGTGTTCGAGCCGTGTCTTCGTCGTCGTCATCCTCATCGTCGTCGTCGTGGTTACAACATCTGATCAGTCCTATTTACACCGTGTCGTATGGGACAAGTAGTTGCTGGTAATGCAGCGCGAGTATGCCTTACCACCTGCTTATTAACGCCTGTGAACGCGAACAAACGCGGTAAATTTACGCGTGCGAAAGATACTTGAAGAAGGACTTGAGACAAAAGACTGGCTAATTAAAACGTGAATGAAAGTATTCATATTTTTTCCTTGACGTGTCAAGGCCCGATTCTCTCTATCTTTCGTTTTCCGGACCGCAGCACCGCCGCGTACGTCGACTCGTTTTCTCAAGTACGGCCGGTAACCCCCGAAGAGAAGACGCTCCGTAAGGACGGAAAAAAATGCGGTCTCAGACGGCGCACTCGCAGTCGAGAGCCCTTTGGGGCCGCGCGTGTCTTTCGTCAGAGGCTATATAGCAGCACCTTGCTCTCTTCAGCGACAGGACGACGAACCGCGGTCGTTCCACGGTAAAACCGTCTCTCTCCATCTCTCTTTCTCTATCTCTCCCGAAACGACGCTTATTCGCGCTTTTATACAGCTTGACTCACGATGTTCCGCGACATTTACCTTCTACGAGCGGTAAATCATTCCCGGTGCAAATTGGAAGAAGTCCGTCCGATCCCAGACTTCACCTCAGAGCGAGAACAGACAGGTGACTTTTCGCGAGAGACATAAAGGCTAATAAAGACAAAAAATACGCGAGCTACAAAGCGTCCAGTATCCCCTTAGTATCTTCTTAGATTTATCGCGCGGAGCACAAATTGTTAGTCACCGTTTTTACAGAGTTGGAAATACGATCGTCCCTCATCTTTATGTGCGCGAACAATTAAACCGAGTTCTCGGCGGAGAGAAACACTAGTCTTATTTTGCTTCAGCTTGCATAAACGCATCGCTGTATACATTAAAACGAAGCACCCTGTATATCCCGCGCGTGCACGAGAATTTTACGGTACTCACAGGAACAGCTATGGACGAGGATGAAACCGCAAATTCATGCAAACCGCAAGATATGGTGGCGGAGCTGACTTAGAGCTGATAAAACGAAAGTCTAATGGCTCCTTCTCTCTCTCTCTCTCTCTCTCTCTCTCTCTCTCTCTCTCTCTCTCT